ATACTTTCCAATTTCCCAATTTTTTATGTTCTTTATAGAAAAAAAAAATGATTTGGAATCTAAATGGCCGGTTTTTTAGCTCAAAAGATGAAGCTAAAAATATTGGCTTGACTTTGAGTGTGACGTTGGGAGACAAAACGACCGAGTTTGGCGGTCCCAACAAAGCATCTTAAGCAAAAATTAAATCGAAAGTAGGATTCTTAAAAAAAAAAAAAAAAAGAGGTTGGCACTATTCCAATATAAGAAAACAACCACCAAATTGACACCAAATTTTAACATTTTTTTAAGGATTTAGTCAAGCCGGCCAAACCCTAACATTATTTTATTTTCTTAAAAGTTTTCTATGCTTAATTTAAGATCTAGTGCAATTTTTCGATAATTAATAACAGGATTATGATAATCAACTTAAATATATACATTTTGTGACAATTTTGAAAATTTTAATTCAAAATCTTATTATGAATGGCAATAATAAGTTTTAATTTTATTTTTATCTTACTAAATGTTATGATACGGATGTGTGATTTGAGTTGGAAAAAATATATATGTGTGATTTAAATTACGATTGTACTTTCTTTTCTTTCAATTTCTTCATTTTTTGTGAAGTTAATGGCTTTTATTTGATGGTCCTGTCAATGGTTTTGTAGGAGCTTTGGGACAGCTTGATAATTGCTAGCTTATGGGAATTTTCTATAGAAATGTTGGATGTGTTTTATGTACAGAGAAGTTTTGTAATTACCTTTGCTTGTGTTTTAAAAGAATGAATTAAACTTGCCAATTGGTAATTTGGTTTGTCCCTCTGAGGTAATTACAAAGTAAGTTCATGAGTTGGATCCTCTAATTTTAATCATAGCAAATATGTTATTGGAAAATTGAAAAAATAAAAAATCTAAATTGGAAGTTGAAATTGTTAGAAAAGTAATAGTGTATGTGATTTCTCTTATAGGGACAACAAAACTGACTAGAATTCTTTTGATAAAGTTTGTAAGGTTTATAATTAAAGAGTTTTTAGAGTTAAGTAGATCTGACAATTTATAATACGATACGATGATATGATACAAAAATGATATAAATAATGATACAAAGATAACATTGTTTAAAATTGCAAAAAAAATCATAAATAGGTTTAATAAAATCAAAAAAATTATATTTTATGTTTTCGTATTGATACAACTGTGACATGCAATTTTCGTGTAAAACACAATACGAATATAATATTTTATATAACACGATAATACGAATTATCAAGTCTAGATTTAAGTATCATCTTGTGTGGATTTAATTGTTTAGTTAAATTTTAATTTATTAATTGTTTATTTGATGAGTGTAATTTGATTATAATGTAATAATTGAGTATTCAATTGATTATATAAATTTAATATTTGATTGTGATTATAACTTATATTTTTACTTGCAATTAAAAAACAATTAAACTAAAAAACCAAAACCCATAAACGGATGGAATTTGGTGGATAAATCAATGATATTTTCTGTTCTATTATTGAGATAATTGAAAATCATGTCACTTTTCCATAAAAATACTTTTAAACTATTGTTTGAACTTTAAAGAGTGAATAGGAAAATTTAGTTCAATTAATTTATATAGTTATCTAATGACATTTAATAGATTTAAAATTTAAATTTCAACACGTATAATTTTTTTTTTCATCTCTAAACTGCAATCCAATTTGGACAAAACAAAAGTCACATAATAATACAACTTGTAAAAAAATTAATCACATGCTGTAAGATCATGTTTGATGCATAAGATGATGAATAAGATAGTATGATAATCATTTTATATTATATTTGATTTGTATGTAATTGAAAGGGATAAGATTACAGGAGAATTATATCCTCTTGGTAGAGAATAATTCAATTTTCTTAAAGTAGAGAGAAATGTTTTTAATTCATGGAATTAAACTTATATAACCTATTATATCATTAAAAATTATATTAATAATTTAAATTATATAAACTTTGAGAAAAGATAATTTTGACTAATAAATAAATTATCTTATTTTAATTCTTACATACATAATTAATCTTATTTATAATATTATTTTATCTTATTATATCCTATCATAATCTTATATATCAAACATGACCTAAGTATATACATATTTTTTGTCTACACGAACAAAAGATTAGGGAATAAATGTGGATCACTTTAGCATTTTTTATCAAAAAGAATACCATTGAGAGAGAGAGAGAGGAAACTGAAGTGCAGCTAAGGATTTTAACCCTCTAAATACTTCAACTGCTTTGACAAGCATTTGACATTGAGGGACTTTTTCACAAGACTTAAAAAAAAAAAGAAAAAAAGAAATCATTTTCATGCAATAATATTTTATGGGTTTTATGCCAAAACAAAGAGAATTATTATTATTATAATCAAATATTGCGTTTTATATAAAAAAAATTAATTAATGAAATCAAAGACTAATAAATCAAAATATAATTGAATAAATTCAAATTAAAATTTGAACCAATTACATTTTAGGCATTAAGAAAAATGACAAATTTTGTGATATTATAAATGATCAATTTATGTCTGACACTCAATTTAATTAATATATTTGGATAATGGGATGGCAAGACTAATAAGATGGTGAAAGGTCTCAAAGTGAAACTTAGGTTTGATTCCAAAGAATTTGCAAGATATGGTAACAACTTTTGAGGATAATGCCCTAATGATATTCTATGATGGATAAGAGACCACTTTTTTTTTTTTTTTTAAAGAAAATTTGAAGTTTTGTTGATTGTGCTTTGATGGAGGATTGTAGGATTTTAAGCAAATTAAACCAATGCTTTTTTGCATAATTGGAAGGTGTTAGGCACTCCACAATATAGACAGTAATGATTTTGGTTGTGAAAGGAAGAATGTGATCCCTTTTCAAGAAGAAAGCACTGTGTGTTTGTAATGGAACTTTGGTCCCCCACCCTTTAATTTCAAACCTCTCCATATAAATATATATACACTCACACACACACACACATATATATATATATATATATATTCTTATCTTTCTCATTATACATAGGTATTCGATTCTCTTTTTCTTTTTTTTTTTTAGAAATAATTATTCGCACTGATAATGAGACTTTTAAATTTTAAGAACGAGTTTAAAAAGTTATTACATTTTTTTTATTTTAATAAAGGGGATTCGAATTATGTTCTTTTAAGCATAGACAAAGCTGGTTAGGGTTTGATAAATTTGAATTTGGCCCAGTCAGGGTTTTATAGCTTTGGTCTCTCTTTACCAAAATTTGGTATCAATTAGAGTTCTCAAATTTTTTTCCCTACTTCTATCTCATGCCTTCAATCAAACTTTTAATTGTTTAAAAACTCAATAATGGTTGTTTTATCTATAAAATTTGAATTATTAATAACTCTATAATCAAATTTATAACCGTGTTTTTTAGAAATACCGCTAAATTTTTAGTGACACTTATAAACACTATTAAACAAAAAAAAATTAAAAGTTCAAATTTCTATAATCTAAAGTTTCTATAAATGATCATATATGACATACATATATATTTGAGGAAAGCGAGATCCGACCCTTGATCTCTTAACAGGTTGAATCATGTACTAATCATTGAATGAAATGATATGGTGCATATATAGTATTATAGGTAGAAATGTATGTATTTATTCAATTATATTACTTATTTATTTCAATTTAGCATGCTTTTTTATTATATTATTTTAAATTATTTTTACTGTTAATTTATTCTTATTTAGGTTACTGTATATTTATTAGATTATAATAAAACATTAAAATAAATGGATATGTGACAACATTATAAATCAATTTACGGAGTCCGAAATCTCTATTATTATATATACATAACAAAATAATTTTTTTTTCTGAATCAACCAAAAACCTGATGCTAATAAAGATGCAACAAGTTGAAATTTGGGATTCCACCATGAAAATGAGAATCCAAGCAGATTCATTTAGAAAAAAAAATTTAGTATTTTAGCAAAAAAGGAGTAAAAAAAAAGTTATATTATTATTTTTTTAATTTTTGGCTTATGATATAACAAATTGTTCGTTTAATGCATCAAAAGACAAGTGATAGAAGTTATAAAACGATGTCGCATAGAAATATTTTTTCTAGTTTTTGGTCCACTTTGTTATATGTCCCATCTCTTGGTTCTCTTCATAAATTATGTTAATGTTTTATTCATTGTGCTCAAGCCAAGGATTCTACATCAAGGTAGGTATTTTACATTAGTTCAATAAATATATACTTATATATATATTATATCATAAATGGACATTGCAAGTTATTTATGAAAAAATGTAATATTATTTTAATTTTAAATATACATATATTTATTATTGAATTAAATATTTATAAATACAGACGATATGAAGTACGTTGAATTTTCTTTTAAACTTACAACACAAAAAGCAAAGCCTTTTTTTAGTATTAATACTTTGCAAAATATAAAATTCTAATTTTTTTTTCCCTTTTTTTTAACCTTTCAGTGTTGAAAATTTCATGGATTTGACAAAGGACACAATGTTAGTAAAGTATGAAACAGAAATCTTTGAGGCTTGAACTCACATTTGACAGAATCAATCTAATGCAGGAGCCACATCCACTAAAATGGATCCTCAATTTGTATTTGAGAGTATAATACACGCGCCTCCAAAAATACCCAACAACACAAAAATTTGTTGTTCTTGACGGTGGTGGTGGTGGTGGTGGTGGTGGTGGACGTTGGGTACTGGTGTTCAATAAAAAGTGTTCAATAAAAATGCAGTCAGGGCTCTGAAGTCAATGCCCAATGCCACATATATTTCCATCCATTTATATCTAAAAATATTACTACATTTTTTAATATTTTTTCTCATATTTTTTCCACAGGTGGCATAGATGCTAATGGCCAAAAAAAATTCCATTTTCAACCAATGCCCTTTCATCTCTTCACTAATCCCAAAAATTGAGTTTTTTTTTTAATAAATTAGAATTTGACTGCTAATGTCTTTAGGCTTTAGCCAAGCATAGAAGTTCAACAGGGAGAGAAAGCAGTAAAAAAAAAAAAGAAAAAAAAAAGAGGAGAACGCACAAACTCTGCCTGCCACAACACAAGAAAACAAAACAAATAAGCAACCTGCTTCTCCTCCCATCAATCAAGCCTTGTTTTTCACTCATTTTTCTCCTCCAACCAAACAAACCTCCAAAGTTTTCCTATTTTCTTTCCTTTCTCTTTGAGGGTGGGGAGTGCTAAGGAGATCTCCCATCAATGGAGAATTCAGCAAGGTTAGTACAAGAGAAGAGGAACTTCCCATCATCTCCTTTAAACTCCCCACATAGCAACGGAAACAACAACAGCAACAACATGAGCAGCAATGGGGTTGTCCAAATTCACACCCCACCCTTGACTCCAAATCCCATTTCCAGATCTGAAACCAACCCTTACCCAACAACCTTTGTCCAAGCTGACACAACTACTTTCAAACAGGTTGTCCAAATGCTCACTGGTTCATCAGAAACTGCTAAACAAGCTTCCTCAAAACCTCCAACTCAACAACAAAACCAACATCATCAACACCAGCAACAGCAACAAGATCCACCATTATCATCAAAATCATCTTTTCCTATACCTCCCATCAAAACCAACTCTCCCAAAAAACAAAGTTTCAAACTTTATGAGAGAAGAAACAGTAACCTGAAAAACAGCCTCATGATCAACACTTTTCTTCCTTCTAGTGTTACAAACAACAGCAATATTAGTGCTTTTTGTTCACCAAGGAATATTGAGATCTTGTCTCCAAGCTTGCTTGACTTTCCAAAGCTAGCTCTTAGCCCAGTTACACCCTTAAATGAAGACCCTTTCAACAAGCCTTCACCTTCTTTAGGGAATTCATCAGAGGAAGATAAAGCTATAGCTGAGAAAGGTTTTTACTTGCATCCATCACCCATGTCAACTCCTAGAGACACTGAGCCTCAGCTTTTGCCACTGTTTCCAGTTACTTCACCAAAAGCTTCAGGCTCTTAAGAATTGACTGAAGAAGAAGAAGATGATGAAATTAATTATGTAATTTGAAAGTGATTTGAAAGAGGCTTAATGGGTTCTGGCTGAATTTGAGTGAAAAAAAAAGGTAGAGGATCTTTCTCCAATTGTATGCTTTGATCTCCCTTTGATTATGGTAAAGCTCTTCCTTTTACCTTCCTTTTAAGATCTTCTTTCTTCATTTTTATTGGATTTTGGTTTGTTACTTAAAACTATTTAATTCTCCATAGATTATGTGAGAAAAATTACTACTAATTTCCTTAGCTCTTACTTTGTGTTTTACTTTGCATAATGAACAAGTCAAAATTTTTTTTTGGTGGTTGCATAACGAACCAGGTCATCTTTCCTTTCCTTTGCATAATTTGACTTTCATGAACTATTCTTTTGGTTGTCCTTGTTTTTGTTTTTGTGTAAATGTAATACTGATTCCTTTCTATGTACAATCAAAACTAAGTCAGCTTGGTAGCTCTTTTCTGCTAAAAGGGTATATCAGAAATGAAAAGTCTTAGTCTCCAAGTTACAACCATTACAATTTGTTGTAAGAATGTTGTTTTCTTTCTTTGATAATTGAGTTTGTATAGCAAAAGAGAAAGGAGAAGACTTTATTTTTTTCTGAAATGTGGAGGGTCACTTGCACAATGAAAACTTTTTGGCTACATTTAACAACGGACCACCATAGTGTAAGAAGGATATCCATTTGAGTCCAATTTGCAGCAAAATGCATTTTATTTTTAAGAAAAATTGGAATTTTTTAAAATTTGGTTTGATGTTGTACTATGTAAGAGTGTTTTGTCCCTGTAACCTTATTCACTTCAGTATCCAAACTTAGCAGTTGATAATTAATACTATGACAAACAAGCTTTTGTATCATAAAAATGGCCCACAAAAAAGAAATCAAACAAGATGTGACAATATTGGATCCTCTAATCTTTTTCACTTTTTCTACACCAAAATATGAAGTAGAAGGCAAGTTAAAGAAATAGCTTAAAAATGAAAATAGTACAATGGCAAATGCCAATGCTTTGCTGCTTCATTTTTTGTCACCTTTTTCTTGGTCTTGTTTTAATTGCATTTCTTAACTACCTTCACCTGTTTTAGTCTGCCTGGTTTGGTGCAGTTGAATTATGCCATTGACATTGTTTTTGGGTATCAAAGGCTAGGCAAGGTTGGTAAGAAACTGTGAAGAAGAGAGATTAATGACCCACATGTGTTCACTCCTTTCAAGATGGAAGAAGAGTCTTTGTCATTTTACTTGGGTTGTTTTTCCTTTTAATGGAGTCTTTTACTTGTCTTAGAGACATCAGTTATTAAGGGTTTTTAAGAAATGGGAACATACAAAGCAGGCTAAAGTGGAAAAGTACGACTTTTCTTATGATTATGATTGAAAATGAAGTTAAAAGAAAAACAACTGAAAAATGCAGAGAAAATGTGAAGACTTTTTCTTTTTCTTTTCTCTCCCTCCAAAAGTAATTTACTTTGTCATTGCTTGAATCCCAACAGTTTTTGCACTAGACAAAGATCTGCCAACCAGTTCATCTTTTGTACCAGTTGAGATGCAAGTGGCGATAACTTTTGGTTAGCCGCTGTTTCACTTGCTTGACAAAGAATAGTTTCTATAATTAGAACTTATAGTGGCTGAATATGGGAAAAGTATGCAAAATAAAGCAATTTTTTATGTGGTTAAAACAGTTTGGAAACTAAGTTTATTCATTGCCAAAATAGACAAAGAAAATTAAGATCTTTCCTGTTTAAGTTTGTACTGAAAAGAACATTTGTAACAGTAATCAGAACTGTTTTATCAAGAGCAGTTCTTTACATATACAGTATCTGCATGCATGCATGCAACTTCAACTACCTCATCGGTCATTAGTAGACCAGCATTTAGTGCTTTTATTTGCAAAGCTGAATCAGATGTTCATAGAAATGTATTCCATTCAAAGCTTTATTAGATGTTAATTGACCTAGTGAAGATTTTGAAATTACTCCATCTTTCTGATTCTTTTTGCCATCTCAAGATTTTTTCTGAATGCAAAGCAGCAAATTGGTTGAAATTATGTTGCTTTGACTTTTCATTTTTGTTGAAGTATCATGTCTAACACGAATATGGGTACATAGATTTGTTCAAATTTATTAGAAAAAAAAAAAAGTGTACACGCTCATCCTCCGAATCCAAATAATTGAGGTTGAAAGAAAAACAAAGGGATGAAATAGTTCCCCTTGAAAGGGAGAAAGTAGGAGAAAAGGGAAAATACAGCAATTTGCATATTTTCATAGCAGTAAAATCCCACCCTTTTCCTCATTCTCCCCATTTTCCTCTTTCCATTTCTCTCATTCAGTCACTCCTACAAAAATATTAAGTTTGGCATAAGACATCCGGGGTTCATCTGTTGCATATTAACACCAACAACCAATATTCTTTTGAGACATTAAACATCAACATCATTGCCCATGTAAAGTTTTAACTCGAGTACAATGTTTGGTAAACATCTATCAAATCCTTTATGGTGTGGCAGAAGTGGCCTCCACTTGCATGTCTAGGAATTGATGATGGGTTTTGGTTGCTCCTGAATTTGTTAGACTACAGTCGTTTCTCCTTACCTGTATCAGTAATGGAATGTTTGGAACCTTCACATGATTGCGTGTTTCACAGCAGAAAACCAGGGTTCATCATCTGCAAGTGAACACCCATCCTCCTTTGAAACATTTGAATGTCGAAAGATCAACACCAAACTTTTATCAGTTGTTGCTTCAACAAGGCTACTTGACTATACAATACCATAGCATTAGCAACGAACTTTACTTGAATGAAGATACAACCAAAACTGGCAGCGACAGATTGATAAAGGGTTGTAACAAACCAAGATTTATTGCATCCAAAAGTGATTTATTGCGTGTATAAATAGTTACAGTCGATATTATTAAAGAAGTACGAAACTTCTATCAGATTTCCAAGAAAGAGTTGATAGTCTTGAATCCATGGCTCTCTGGAAGAGGACCGTTTCCTGGCCGGACAGAGATTACCACCTCCAAACCTAAGACATGGATAAAGATGACAATGTTAATAAACAAAGTACATATCACCTTAATTTTCTAGTTAAGAGTAACACTGATCTAGAAATCCACTGAACATTAAAGCCATAAGCTCAATTGACAACTTAATTTACTATTTTTCTGATGGTAACTTGTTGCACATGGAAATGGAGTGATTCACTGATTCTGATTTTCTCTTTTACAGTATAGCATATATAGGGGGTAAAAAACAAACAAACAAACCAACTAAAAAATAAAAGAAAGAATATGAAAAACAGTATCACTTATTTTGCGAAAACAAGTTTATAACATGAGCCAGGAATCAACAGAGTTAGAATATGGACACTGGAGAAAAAATAAAGTAGAACCAATGATTTTTCCTATCTGGCAGTCACTGTTAAAATAAACAATGAGCAGTACAATACCTGCAGCCTTTGCAGCTGTGGCTTCTTGATAGACATCAGTCACAAAAAGTATCTCAGATGGATTATCAACTCCTAATGACTCTGTGATTTCAACATAACTGCGTGTTTCTCTTTTGTTTCTGCAAGCAAGGAAGGCGACATCGTCACACCTTGAGTTAAAATTTAGTGATAAGTATAGAAGAAATTGTGAAAGCAATAAACTTACCCCACTGCGGTGTCAAAAAATCCAGACAAAAACTTTCTTAAATCACCGAAGTTTGTATTTCCAAATATAAGCCTCTGAGCCAACCTGCTACCACTAGAATATATGTATACCTGTCGTGAAATGAGAAAGCAGTGATTAGCATTGAAATTGAATTTTCTCTAAATAGTTAAGAAGTTAGGAGTATGATCCTTTGGGAAGGAGGGGGGAGAGAGAGATTTAAAAGGTTAAACACTCTTTAAACCCAAACAAAAGATATGGTTTGCTTTTTCCTCATGGATATGTATTTCATATCAGAAATAAGGAGAAAGTATCCAGTGTTATGCTGAGAGATGATACAACTTTACAACCACTCAGTAGGACATGAACATACATTAACTTGAAGTTGGTTCTAGATCAGGTCAAACTGGACACCTATCTACTAAGAAAATTGGCTCCCAGTTTGCATAATGACTAAAACGGCTTTTGAATATACTACATTCTGTAGTAAATGCATGAAAACATACACAAAACATAGACAAATATGGTATCCAGAACCACATTCAGAAAATAAAAGTGGAGAAGAATAAAGAGAAAAGTAAGTATGAAAGATACCTTTACACCCAAAGCATGCCATTTTTCAAGAGCTTCCGGTACATCATCAAAAACTACTCCTTCTAGCTCATTGTTCTCAAATCCAGTTCGCCATATATGACCCTATTTAGCTTCATATATTAGCTCTATCCCAAAGGTAAGCTTTAAACATGTATTTTCCTTGAATTCATATTTGCTTACTTGCAATTGCTTTAAGGCAGTGATTTTTCTATCAGCTTTTATCATTGCTTCCACATTAGAAACCAAAGCTGCAATCACCTCCTCGTTTCCCGCATCTTCTGAGGGGATAGGTACAGTGCCAATAACACCTTGCTTCAAGTCATCTTGAACCTGTGAAAAACATGTTGTGGATTCAATATAGACATATCATTTGGGAGTCAATCTGGATTTTCCTTGTTGCTAATTTGTTAAGGCCAACAATCCCACTGCCTTAACTACAGAAAAAGAGGTGAAGAAGTATTCCTTAATGGCCTAGCCCTGTTTTCTAAAGTTCTAATTTTAGCAAAGAATATAAAAAAGGGTATAGCAAATTTCATTCTAATTTATTGTTACATGTGCTATATCAAGGACTTGAGCAAAGGGCTAAGTGCAAATGTCCATACCCCATTATTGAAGATTTTCTTTGGCTATCCAATATGCATGCCTCAACCCATGTCAAGCAAAACAGATACTCAGCAATAAACCAGGGTTTCACAAATAAAATATTTATAAAACTGAACTACTTGGCAAACTAACAGACCATTGAAAAGACAGTAATTGCATATATAACAAAGGGTCTAAGTGTTGTAGAAACTATAAATTATAATGGTTCCAAATTTAGAGGTTCATCAGCAATGCGTTCATACAAATGACTAGTTCTTTGCATGTTCTTTTTTCATGTCAATCACACAACGTTTGAAAGCATATTGTTTTGGGAAACAGAATGGCACTTGATTGAATCAAATTTAAGCAGCCAGCCAAAATGTCAGCCAATCATCATCAAATCCAACCAACAATTTGAATAGATACTCGTACTGATTCTTCATTTAGACAAGATCGGTATGTGGATATGCTCAAGAAGCATCGATAGGCGATTCACAAGTAAGAAGCACTCAATTGCAGTTTACAGCTAGAACTTAACCAAAGAAGCAAGCATATCATTTCCAGTAAGAAGCATCTGTCAGAAGTGGTGATCCCAATGAATGATACATACAGTCTCAATTTCCTAATTTCCAGTACTAAACAACAGCAGCATGATTTCTTATTTATTTGACAGTCAATTGTGGCCTAACTCTTAAAATTAATTATTTCCGCTAAAATATTAAAAATTAAGTGTTTTGTGAAAGCAAGGCAAAAAGATTTGTGTCATGATCGCAATAGAACATGATAAAATGTTCAAAGGTACAAAGAAAAATCTTACTTGAGAACGTAACAGCTTAATGTCATCCTGGGTTTCAGCACTAGCATATGTTGCAGACAAATGCCTCCCAACATTGTTTCGGGCATATGGAAAGAGAACATCTGCTACAAATGAAATAGGGGTTGTAGTTCCTTCAATGTCAAGCACAATGCAACGCTGCAACAGAATAAATTGTAAAGTGTGAGCATATTTCTGACAATTAGAGCAATAAAATATTCATAGTTTACCAAAATGTCATTCAACCATTCATATTAAAGATGCAGTTCACCAATATGAAGAATTTTGTTAGAAGGGAAATGCTGTCGCGTATAAACCCTGAATTTATCCAATTGAAGCCAAAATATGTAAATTTCTTACTGGAAATGGCTCGATTTTATTATTTGAATCCACTGTCCCGGCCTTCGTAGACACATTTATCCTGCCATTGATGCCCGAAACTCCTTTAACTTTCTGAATGGGGCCATGATCTGGAGTAGACCAGTCTAAGCCTAGTTGATTAAGTTTAATAGCAGCATCAAAGAGGTAATGGTAACATTCCGCCTGAAATAGTATGTCACTGCTGAAGTAAGAAACACAACATGACTGATGCAAGATTTAAGAACCTCTATCTTAATAGGAAGGAGCATCAACTTGTAAATAAAGTTTTTTTTTTTTTTTTTTAATTCTTTTAATGTTATGATTCACATGCATGAAAAATTTAAACTGTACAAATGAATCATGATAAGTCAACAATAGCAAACTTTGGGCATCTGTAAGCGACAATAAAGCCATGATAGAGAGAAGCTCTAGATATTCTAAAAATTTCATGAGTTTGAATCCAAATATTACATAAGTTTCACAAACCTGAGTTTTAGCACTGATCCATGAGTCTCCCCATACATATATGCCATGATTGCGAACAAGCACAGCAGTTGATTTAGGATAGGCTTCAATCTGAAAAACATTAAAGTGAACTTCAATTAAGTGAAACAATATTATACATGGATAAATTTAACTGAGATGAACGGTTTAACATGAACAGGATGAATTTATAGTCAACTTCACTGGAGTGAAGACAATATGTTCCCATCACCCAGACCATGAGGGATTTGTTTAGTCCTTTAGATTCATTTAGGGTTGTCTAACCATAAAATCAGATTCTTAGATAGTTATTTGTCATGCTTCTGATTAATAATAAGTATGCTCTTATTTCCCCAGAATAGGTCTCACCAATAATGAGTTAATAGTGCATCATTTCCCTACCCCAAAAGGTCTCAATAAAAAGCAAATATAAATAATAATTTAAGTGTGAAGAAAGATTGTGGGTAAAGGTCATGGCTACTTATTCATCAAGAGACTGAATTAGCAAAGTGGCACCAGGAAATAGACACATATACACCTCATTGATTGAGAGTATTCATTAATTTTATTCAGCTACATGAACATTATATGATTATCATGGAAGCCAATCTCATGATCTCTATTGACAAGATGAACACAAAAGAAACATACAGCTTTGGCAAGAGAATCTGTGAGCTCGTTTTCATATGCTGTGTTCTCAATTATTGGGATCACAAGTTCATCATAGTAACCATGTCCTTGAATTCCTTTTATCATTTCCATATGAGTGATCTGCAAACATTCAAAAGAGAAAAAGTAAATCAATCACTGAAGGAGGGAGAACACAGATATGTAGCAGTGAAAGACATTAAACGCAAGAGAAAGAGAGATAAGCACACTTTAGAATAATATTTTACTGTCACCAAAAACTTACACGAAACACTTTTGAAAGTGGATTGATCATTGTTACAAGGCAAGATTCCATTCCATGACTGTGGATAACAGCTCCAGCATTTCGAATATGATATGCCTGAATAACGAGGGAAAAGAATATATATCGATAAATACAGAACCCAAAAAAAATAAAGCGAAAAGGGGGAATTCTGGTAAAGACCTATCCAGCTATAACTGCCATAGCTCATTCATTAACATAATCTTCACAGATTAAACATTTATAACATGGAAAGAAATAGCAGTTCTAGTTTGGCTGTTTAAGTAAACCAAGTAATCTACTACTAAAACTTTGGGTAAAAGAATTAATAAGAGCCTAACTAGTTAATGAGTTGTAACTTAACTTCACATCCTCCAATAATACTGCAAATTCAGATGGGATCAAAAGTACCTAAACCGTATGAGAACCAAATCTGCCGGTTATCGGTTATCTATTTGTAAATGGGATCTTTAATCTATTTTTACACCAAAGTAAACAATACTTGACTATGCTTTGATTTCAACCTATGGTAGTAAGCAATCACATATTGTAATGGTGCATGCTTTACTTACTGTCAAACGTAGGAAGACACCATTAAAATCATAGTTTCTGATCTTAGATTAATTACCTTTTGGAACTGTTAAGAAGTTTCAAATCTATTCTTTTTTAGTTTCTCTCTCTATCTGGCTTGATTGGTGGGAGAAGAGGTGGTTTACAAGTCAAACCAATAATGGGAAACATTTAATTTGAGGTCATCCTCCTTTCTTTTGTTATGTTTTCTGAGCAATCAAATGGAAGAAACTAAAGTAACAGTAAAAAGAGCACCATTTTATCATAAAAATTTAAAACTTATTAGATCCAAAATCAAGCTAAAAAGGAACATGATGCTTACAAGTAAAACATATCATAAAAGCCTGCTATCCTAACAAATGTTCCAATATCAACAAATAGGATCAATATCAACCCAGTAATTTATATCATAAAATACAAAAAAAACTCAGCAAAACAAAATGTTGGATTGATTAAACAATGTCAAACAATAGTTATTTAAAAGCACAGATAATTAGTTACCTTCATGAAAAGAGGAGCACAATCAGAGCACTTGGGAGGCTTATGAGGGTATGGCTTTGGAGAAGGTGAAGAAATAATAGACCCATCTCCTGATAATATATACATGTCCTCTGGTTCCATTCTCTCCTTTTGAACGCCTATCAAAGTACCAAGTGACAAGCACATAATTAAGCTATTCCATAAGAGAATACAAACATTAACTCTTAAACAATAATGTTCCAGTAATCAGAAGAACACAAAGAAATAAATAAACATGCAATTGAATATTTACCGCAATATACAGAATGTAACAAAAGACAACTTCTATCCACAGGAACTGTCTACAGAGGTTAGTATTAGTATCCGTAGTTCATGTAAAAAAGGAAGTCAGAAACAGAATCAGACTTGTACAAAGGCATGACTAAATCAACAACAAAAATTGTGAAAAGCAGGGGCATCTCAGACTAATAGAAAAACAACTCATTTGAGCTTGAAAAGCGTATACCAAGTAGCCCAAAAGCCATAATTTCTTTTTTTTTTTTTTTTTTGATATAGGTATACCACAACCCACATAACAAACATCCCCGAAAAATAAACAGTCATTTCTGATTGAATAACTAATACCCAAAAGCCAAAGTGCATAGAAAAACAAATAAGTGATCTAAAACGTCAACAACTAAGATATTAGACACCCTAGATTAAAACGAAAAAGCACAAATTTGAACTTGAATGACATGCACCAGAAGCAAAAAGAAAATTTTCAACTAAAATAACAACAACCCATATAACAAACATTCCCGATTAATACACAAAGAATGACTTGAGCTCGGATATGAAATGCACATAAGCCAAAATAACCGTGCAAAGTACATAATGAGATAAGACAATTAAAAACCTATAATATCAAACATCCCAAATTAATCATAAAAAAAAAAAAAAGAACTTTGTGCCTCAGTAACAAATAGCCAGGATCCAAGAACCAAAAGATCAAGACAAACCAACAATTAAGCTATAATAACAATGATCCAGATACCAAACACCAAAAAATAATCATAAAAAGTTTAAAAAACACATCTTTGAGCTTCAATACTAACTATTCAGAAGCCAAAAAATGGTGATTGATAGAGAAATAGGTACCAGAAGGGGACATGAGGATGAGCTGCTGAGGCTTAGGGATACAACTATCATGAACCTTCATGGTGATGCTGCCACCTGTTCCGGAAACCCATCCAAGGTTATAGAACTGGCGACAAAGCTCAGATATCAAGGACCGTGTCTCCTTCACTGCTTTGCTCTCTAAATAAGCTTGTGATACACTCCCCATCTTCAAGCCCCCGTTTACTGCCACTGCTGTTAGTATAGCCATTGCAAATACAAAAGGCTTTCTTTATATATAGCTAGAAGAGTAAGGAGAATCTTTAAATTAAATAATAATTATAAAAAAAAAAAAAAGCGCAAGAGTTTTGTGGGAGCTTAAAATATGGCTAAAGCTTTGGTCTTTTTTTGTTATCTTCAATCTCTTTTGAGCTGCGGGACAAGACAATTATCTGCTGGACATGTTTTGTTTTGTTTTGTTTAAGGTAGGGTGAATGTACGTGGACCTAAGGGCAGAAACAAAAATTGACAAAATCAACCCAACTTCAAATGTAAAACCCAACCCAAATTAGAAACTCTCTCAATTTGATCCAAAAAGCAGCCATAATGAGTGGTGGGCTCTAAGCCTAAAACCCAAACCAACAAACATCTCTCTTTCTCAAGTCAAAACCACAAAACAAATCAAAAACCTTGCACTTTCTCCCCGTATTAAAACACTGGTAAACCAAAAAAGGGGAAGTAAAAGTAAAAACCCAGATCCTAAAACCCTTTTTGGAAGCCATGAAAAGGGCTCTGTTGCGAAGCATATCAGTCACTACTGGCAGTTTTCTTCACTCTTATACCAAAACTAGCCAAAGCCCTGTTCACTCCCTCACCCCATTCGCCGCTTCAGCTCGCTCTCGACTTAGGTTCTACTCGTCCGAATCGGATTCTCCCGATGAGAAGAAGACTGACCCAGTTGTTGCATCTGCTTCATTAGCTCAAGCCCATGTCAAGGATGTAGCTTTGAATGTTGAGGATGTGAATAATAAAGGTCAGAAATGGGTAAAATAAAGATTGGATTTTAAGTATCTCGTTTTGACAATTTGTTTGTGTTTTGCTTGTTTGGATGATGAGAAAAGAAAAGAGAAAATGAATGAACAAGTTTGATTTTTTGTTTCAATGGTTGGTTGTGTTGATGTTTTTTGTTTGGGCAAAAGTTTTAAACTTTGGGTCTGAGGATTTAATCTGTGCTTCTTTCCTGTAATTTTCCTTTTGCTTTGATAACTATTTGTTTGGATAATGAGAAAAGCAAGGGAAATTAAATTATTTTTTTGTTTGGATAATGAGAAAAGCTAGTGATAGTTTGTTTCTCAGTTATGTAATTTAACTTTGTTAGTTCTTTGGTGCCAGAGCTGAAAACACGAATTGAGAAGTACTTCGAAGGGGATGAGGAGGCACTCCCTTCAATTCTTGAGGCCATTTTGCAGAGAAAGTTGGTTGGGAAGCATGAGGAGACAGATGATGAGTTGATGGAAGAAATGGAGATGCAACCACTTGACGATGTGGGAGATAAAGAGTTTGAATCGGATTTTGAAGAGTTGTACTCAACTGATGAAGAGATTGATGATTTGTATAATGCCAGGGATATAGTCATGAAGAGAATGGTCAAGGATGAGTACTTTAACATGGATGATCAGAAGTGGGATGAGATGATTAACGAAGCCGTTCAGCATGGACATCTTAAAGACACAAAGGAGTGTGAGGAGATTCTTGAGGACATGCTTAGCTGGGACAAGCTCCTCCCAGGTTTGTCCTGATTTTAATATATCATTGTATGTTACTGACTTGTTTTGCTGTTGGACCTGTAAATCTCTACTAATTCTAGCTTTTCATCTACAAAATTGATTGATGTTAAGATTATCAATCCATTTTCCTCTCAGCTGATCAATGGTAATATTTTCAGGGCTTCTTTATGTAGTGATATAAGGAGGTGGACTTTTTAAAATTGCTTGTGATTTTATTAAAACATTGAATCTAACGACCTGCTTCCTAAGCCTTGAGCAACCCACCTCAATCATCCCCCAAAATAGTTTCCTACTCTATTTGGCTTTATGCATGCACTTTCTGAACTATTAGCCACCATTTGGTTTTTGATGAAATTACATGTAGATAGAAAACTCTACAATGCTTGCTATGTTTGTGTCTGAAATGTTGATAAATGAGAAATGAACCTAGACTAACTCCAATTCTTGAAAGCTAATTATCTTTGATTGCACATAAATATCACTAAAAAGGCTGTGGCTAAGATTAAAAAGTTTGTTTCATGAGTAAATGTAGCTTTTCCAAGGTCAGTTTAATGTCACTCTGTTTGCCCCTTTCTAGTTTAACTATTGTATGCAAATTGATTTCTATACAAGTTATTTTTCATGAATATGTATGGGAAAATTCTTACATATTAATAGTTACAATGACTTATTTGCTGATTGAAATAACAGATGGATCTTGTTCAGTTTACTATGGTTGCTTTATTCCTATGTGATTTACTGTTGAAAACATAAAGCTTGTACAATTGAAGGAAGCAAATTCATAGCTCTAGGATAAAATGTAACACTTTCAATAACGTTCCTTTTATATTTTTGGCCTCTAGACTCTAGAGTGGTTCATTTGAACCTTATATATTCTCTTAACTAGAACTTCACAGGAATGGGCCTTATACAATATGATAAGTTGTAAGGTTTCACTCAACCGGGTAAGGTTTCACTCAACCAGGACTAGGTTAGGGAAAGAAAAAAGTTGGGCAATCATTTGAAGTGACTTGGATCAAGGGATAGCTAGAGTAGGTGTTGCAGTTTCAGACTCTCCTCATTCTTAAACATTGGCTTGTTATAGTTCATAATTTTTTTCAATGATAATTGAAACTGTTGAGAAGAAATTTTTGAATGAGTGACTGATGTATAGCATTATGTGAGTAGTTACCTAGTTTTTTAATGTTCTTTGTGAATGGATGTCTGCCAGCTGTGGTTTAATTTATGTTTACATGATCAGATGAGATGAAGAAAAAGGTGGAAGAAAGGTTTAATGAGCTAGGTGACATGTGTGAAAGAGGTGAGCTTGAAGTTGAAGAAGCTTATGAGCAATTCAAGGAATTCGAGGATCAGATGGTCATGGAATATGGAAGGATGATGGAAGCTGAGGGCCCACCAAAATTTGATGAGACTGCTGTGCCGGACATGAAAAAGAACTTGGATGACCCACCTGGTGAAGGGCCAATCCTTAGGTGGCAAACACGGGTAGTCTTTGCTCCTGGTGGTGATGCATGGCATCCCAAAAACAGAAAAGTAAAGATGGCTGTTACAGTGAAGGAGCTTGGGCTTTCAAGGCATCAATTTCGCCGGTTACGAGCACTTGTTGGGAAGAGATACCATCCAGGCAAAGATGAACTTACAATTACTAGTGAGAGGTAAAGAAACTGCATTTCTTTCCATATGACTTGTATCTCTTTTCACCTCAATATTGTCCCTAATAATCTTTTGAAACCCCCACAACACCAGTGCTTTGGAATTCTTTGCACCTCTGGTCAAATTTTGTTTATTCATTCTTCCATCTTTTCAGGTTTGAACACCGAGAAGAGAACAGAAAAGATTGCCTTAGAACTCTCTTTTCTCTCATTGAGGAAGCAGGTAAAGCTAACAAAATGGCAGACGAAGCTCGCACTGCATATGTCAAGAACAGACTTAGAGCCAATCCAGCATTCATGGAGAGATTGCGTGCCAAGACGAAGAGATTGCAAGAATCTAGAACTCTGAATGCATGAAAGTTTAATCTGCAAACTATTTCAGACAATTCACCAATGCATACTCACCCCATTCTATGGATTGCACAACCCTTTTCATTGAAGCTTCTCAGGAGGTTGTAGTTGAGCCATTGTCATGTTTTATGGAGGAACCAGTGTATTTCTTATTTGCAAATTTTGTTAACCAATCTACAAATTTCATTTCTTTTAGAAAACAATTAAATAAACTCTCTTGGATGCATTTTGTTTCGTTACTCTTCCTTGCAATTTGTTCCTTTAGTAAAAACAGGGGATTTAAAGAAAAATCAAAATGCTTTTACAATTTATATATAGTTTAAGGGGAAAAAAAAGTCAAATATTTTTGAATATTTGCAAAGTTAAATAACATCAATTATGAAAAATGGAAAAGCTTTTTTTTTAACACAAATTGTAACAAGTAATAAAAACAAACTTCATATTTTATTATTATTCGAATTATTTACTTTCCGATTGTCCATTAGAATTAAAAAACAAAAACAAAAACCAATACTTGGAAGTGTTTGGTTATAGAGATAAAACTATCCTCCAAAAAGCTTATCCAGAAGCACAGAATAAAACCCCAATTGGGGTGGAAAAGAAATTTCCTTTGACATTATCCGACGCCAACCTTTCCTTCTCTGTCTTTCTCTTTGGCAGCCATGGCCAGAGGAAGAGGGAAACTGATAAAGAAAGTGCAAAAAATTGCGGGTGACAAATTCAAGTTCTTTGGAACTAGATTTGAGTACATTTTGGGGTTCCCAGGCAGAGTACTGCTCTTTCCTTTCACTCTTGCCATTGACATTGCTGGCTCTGCTCCTCGTGGCTTTGGCATCCCTGAGTTTATCTCCAGGCTCTCCTACACTTCTGTCTTTGTAAGTTTTCCTTCTTCAGGTTTAAGTCTTTTGCTCTTATGGGTTTTTAGTTTTTTCTTCCTCTTGTTGGCTTCTTTATTCTTATTTGTTATGATTATAATTTGTTGAAATGGGTAATTGTGCAATCTGTTAAATTTTTTAGCTTTGTGTTGAAAGTCGTTTTTTTTTTCACTTTTTGGTTCTAAAAATTTGGTGGTATCTGTCATTGCGGTGAAACAGAAAGTTGGGTCATTGATAATTGCTACTTTATTTGTTGGTTTAGGGTTGAGTGATTTTGTATTGAAATTTGCATTTGAGTTAAAATTGGTGGTCACAAATTTCATTTTATTTAATGTTGGTTTTGAGTGGCATTAATCACTTGATGAATGAGTGGCTGAGTTGTTTAATTGATTAACTGCCGGTTCATTGACCTTCGACAATTTCGACATTATATCAGTGAATTTTTGTATGCTTAATGTACTTTCAATTTTTACATTTCAAAAATTAAGGATTTTACAATTAAACTATAGTTTCTATTTGCCTTATGTTTCTTACAAATGCTAAATTCTGGAAGGGAATAGAAGAAATATGCTGTGTGTTCAATTTACTGCATACATCTATCATACTGCTTATGGTTTTGTCCGTCAAAGTGCCCATATTGGTTGTTCTTTTAATGTTTTAACCTTCTAAAAGTTAGAGAAGAGTAGCCAGAATTAATTGGTTTTAGTTCTTATTCTCATGAGTTGCTTACAGGCTATTGGTGCTTTGGGAACCTATGATATTGCATTGAATCTGGGAAAGAAGGTGATATGTCAAAGGTGCATTCCCAACCCCTTCAAAGTTATATTCTGGATTCTGCTCATCATCAATTAAATTCTGATTTCATAGAACTTGTGGCATTATAATGTGCTGCTCTAATTTACTGTTATGTAAGTTGGAATATGCTTCAGCCTCTATTTTTTTCAAAAAAAGGGAAAAGAAGAAATTGAATGTTTTACACTTAAGTTTAATATCTTATGTGGAGAATATGATTCTGAATTTTCATTAAAGCATAGAGACCCATTCATCTTTTTGGTGTATGTTTACAGTATCATTTATTAGTTTGATGAAGTAGATCAGACAAAAAAACAAAGCCAACTTTTGTTTAAAAGATTATGTACCCATGATTTATTTCTTTACCATTTTTACCACTTCTCTGGAAGTTAAAATGATTATTACTAGCTTGTTTGGTTATCAATAGCTTAAAATTTGAAATGTAACTTTTAAACAAAATGCCTTACACAAGATTGCTCTGTCGAGTTCAGGAAATGTCGTACCTGCAATGGATGGCAGGCTTTGCGGTGTACTATGTGCAAAGGATCAGGGAAGGTGCGCTATCAAGTGAAAAATTACACCTTGAGAAGGTAGATCAACCTCTAGTGACTGTTTTCTGACTGTAAACCACTAACTATAATATTATAATCTACTTACCTTCTTCCTCAAATTTTCCATGGAATTGGCCAAACAAAAGAAAAAAAAAAAAGGCTTATTGAGCTTGGGTTCAATAGATTTTCTTAAAGATGTTCAGACTGCAAGACACCACAGACTTAGGCTTGTCTGGTTGTGTCATGGGTGGTTACTAGTTATAGTTTGAATGCTTTATGATCTTAACTGACTTTGTCTAGGTATCCAATCCTCAATCGAGTTCAAGCTATGTGAATGATGATGTTTTATTATTTAATTTCGAATATCTGCTCTGAATCTCCTGCAGCGGGGAGAAAGCAACTTCAGAATGTGTTGCAGATGCTATTGCTGACAATCGAGCAGAGTTGGTGCACCTTCCATCCACTATTGATCTGAATACACCATTGCCATATAAAGAATGCCCAACTTGTGATGGAACAGTGAGTCTTACATTTCTTGGCATATTGCATTTAGTTGCCCCAAGTTTTTCCTGTTCAGTTCTACTATCATCCTTCATTTGAAAATTTTCGTAACTGGACAATTTTGGTTTCGATACTTGGGTGAAACATGTGTTTTTGCAGGGAGTAATGCACTGCCCTGAATGCAAGCACAAATTACAAGTCAGGATCTCTGCAGATGATGTGAGTTGCTCTGTCACTTTTTAGCGTACGGGATGCTCGTTATTTTACGTAATTGTATCCTATCTTGAACAAAAATGGCTTTGTAAATTTTGTTGTGATGTGATCAATTAGCTTCTGTCTTTATCTCTATCCTTGAGATATAAATCATTGCAGTGACTATCTAAAACCATTATGCATTGCGAATTTGTTGCATTATTTATCTCAATGCTAGCAAGTGGTTTACAGTGTCCTTTATTCCTTCTAACTTATGGAGTTTTTTGCGCTGACGACATGACCAGGTTTGTTGAGGTCATGCTATGCTTTGATTATCTGTCAACTTTACCAGATTTGTGTCCCTTTCTAGTGAGGGAAGCAGGCTCTTAATGCTGTAATGAACTTTATGTTATAGTCTTATTATGAAGGATGTAACTCAACATATATCAGAAATATTCTAGAAATAGTGCCAGCTTAGCACTAATAGTTTTTGTTTTCAGCCAGCTTAGAGCTTAGAGTTTAAACATGTAAAAACTTTATTAAAGAGATGCATGAAGAAACTGTGGAGGATACAGAACTTCTATGTCAGACTATAAACTTTTATTCCTTTCTTTGAAACATTCAGCAACTCTTGTTTTAATTGTGCTTCAGTTCCACCAGTGTTGTACTGTTTTCTTGTTTGTTTCATGCTAAAGTTGCCTGTCCTTAAATCTAATGTGATTTCTGTAGATAATGGAACCTCCATGGAAAGCCTATGATATCTTAAGGAAGATGGACCAACCATATGAGGCAAGTATCCTAACATTATCCCTCCCTATCTGTTCTTTTCAATGTTAAAGCTCACTGAAAACATTTCTGTATCATTAAATAACTAAATTGCTAAGGGGAAGAAAATGGATATAACAGTATCTAAATTCACTACAATACCGACAGAATATTATTTCCGTTTTTCTACTCGTATGCCATATCTTTTATCCATCAAAATGCTCAATTTTCTAGAATTAGTGTCCATAGATGATTGCTTTTCATATTGTTTACTTCTTTTTTTTCATTAAATTGGATATTTCTTGGTCAAATTTACTGTTTCAGCACATAGTTCACAGCATGAAGGACCCCAGCATTGCAGCATTTTGGTTGCTTACCCTGCCTCAGATTATGGGTGGGTTTGACTATGATGATAATGTGAAGCAGAAAATTTGGTGGCAATACAAGGTATAGATGTTTATGATCTCACTACTTGTCTGAGATTTATCTTTATATTGCACTTATGGAGATCATATGTCATCCTAGATATTGAATGGATTTCATGATATTAATAGTAAACAAAATTTGTTATAAGTCAAGTTTATATAATAAATTTGAGATATAGATATGCATGATCTCTCCACTCGTCTGAAAATTATCTTCTTATTACATGACATTTATTATTAGCCAGTCAAAGCATCTTTTATTGCATCAAATGCAGTTTGTCAAAAAGTAGTTTCTGCTGCATTCTTGTAATTGCTTGAATTTCTCTTGGATTCAGGAATCTATGCGGTATGATCAACTTAGAGATGCTGTGGCCAAGAGAAATCCTGGCTGGGAGCACTTGCAGGAAGTAATATTATGTTTCTGTTTTATACATGCATTAAATATTTAGGTAACATGTCTGTGATAACTTTTATGAGCGAAACATGGATGCTATTCACATGGTTGACAATAGCCATAAATCATGAATAAGCAAACAGAAAACCTTTATTTCTTTCTGTTTTTCTAAGGGCCTTTCTGGGTGTGGAAATGCTTTTATATGTTCATTTCCCATGAAAAGTTGGGGTCATCTTTTTCATTTTCACTTTTAGCCTCTTTGCCACCTCATCCTGTGGGGCCATCTTTTGTTTGGAAAGCTCATGATGTGAATTTAATTTAATATTCACAGGGCATGATTGCCATTGATCCTGCCCGTGCTAGGGATGACCCTGTTGTAGTGAAAAATATTCGTTATTACAAGGCCAAGAAGGCATTGGAAGCAGAAGTCATGAAACTTGATCCTCCTCCACGGCCGCAGAATTGGGGTGTGAGTAGCCTCTGTTGTCATATTATATGGTTCATATATTTCATCCATTAGAAACAAATTGTATTGGCAATAATAGGACTAACTGCAGAGTGTTTGCAGAACCTGGACCTCCCATTAAATGCGTCTTCCTGGAGTGAAGATGACCTTAAAGATCCTGCAAAACTGTATGAAATGACTGTTCTTCTTAGTGCTCAAAGAGAAACTGCTGATAAACTTCTAGATGCTCAGTGGGAAACCAAATGGCGTCAAGAGAAGGTTAGTAATTTCTAATTCATGCATCTCAGGGAAAAAAAATGTGTGGTCATCAATCCAGTAAAAACATCTAGGACTTTTGAAGTAGTTAATCTTTCGAAGATAATGGTTCTTAATGGCCTCTTTACAACTAAAAGACTTGAGAAGATAAAAAGAGAATGCTACACTCCTTTTGGGAGGAAGGAAAGAGAAGGGAGAAGAAGGACAAACTTTTAATTTAATGATTGAGCTAAAAAATAGCACGTGTTAGGAATCTCAACTATTAGTGTTAGGAATCTCAACTATTAGATTACAACGTTTTCCTTTCTTTCCCCTTTCTTTCCTCTTTCTTTCCTTCCTGCCAAACAGAGAAAGTCTTAGTAATTTGTTCATTGGAAAGTGGGATGTAGGATTTAAATTGCGTCAGTTGGGACCTTAAGGTTTTTACCCAAAAGCAAGATGTTCTCCCGTGCATGTCGCCACGCAAACATCCATGTCCATTGCATGCACTCTCAAACACACACACACACACACACACATGCATCCATGCATCCATTTTGCATGCTCAAGTGTGAAAGTGTCTGCAATTGTACACAGCAACTGCTATATATCATACCCTGGTGTCATTTATATCTCCCTTTCCATCACATTTTCAGCTGAACTCTACCAATATGGATGTCATTTTCTGCTTCGATCTTCAAACAACCAACCTATAAGACAACATTTTCCCCTTATGTTCTATGCCCATTTTTCACACATGTCTTGGTGATAAAGAATTAGTCCAGTTACAGTTTCTTTCCTGCAACAATAACGGTCTGAAGAATTACTATTTTGAGTATTATATTTAGACTTGATATTGGTACCTGAATGCTGGGTAATACAAATGTCAAGATAAGGCATTCTTAACTCTTTCAAGTATGTAAGAGGACGACGAATCATTCCTGAAGAAAGGAATAGGCAGTGGGAAGAAAGAATACCAAAGTTGGCTGATAATGGAAAACATACAATTATATTTAACTTGTGTTTCTCAAATGCTTTTCCTCATTTTCTCTTAGAACTGCTTTCCCTATTTCTATAATTGATTCTATCTATGTTATTTTATGTGTGTGGTTACTGTCATAACCGATAATTTTTGTTTGTGGACTTTTCGATATTTGTTTTTCAGTTAAATGAGATGTTGAAGGAGAAGATGCGTCCATACATTCAGAACATTGATAATGTAGTCCTTCCTCGGCCAATTGTAATACAATCAAATCAAAAGGTTTGTTTTCTTTCTTCACTTAAAAATGCTGTGTGATAGTGTTAGCTTGAATAAAATTATAACCTGCTATTTCTTTCTTCACTTACAACATATTCCTACTCAAACCAAAGAATTATTTGTGTTTTTCGTTTTCCATTGCCAATTTTTTTCATTGCATTGTATGGGTTTTATAAATGTTGCTTTCCGTATTAGTGGTTTTATGTTGATTTGTCATCTTCAAGATGAAGCTTTCTGAAATAATACGTCTCCTTGGAGCTTTGGACTTGTATGATCCAATCTTTCTTGTAGCACATATTAGATACTCATTCTACGACATGCTGTAACTGCTAATATGCTAGAAAGCCATGAAGCCCATGGACCTATAACCAAGTCCTACCTTTCTTATGCATACCATATGGAAGCAAGAAGGTATTGACGATTTTATGGGCTTATGTTGAGTGCCTCCAAAAGTCGGACCTACTTGATCTTAGATTCTTTATGTTTGTTTGTGTTGGATATTGGCCTAGGAACAATTTCTCCTTAACCTGCGGATACATATTCAATGGTAATGCATCAAGATTCATGAATAGTTCCCCTTTAGTTGCTAATTATCCAACATGGCTTCTTTGAAGCTTTGTTCAGGCTATGGAGCCTCTGGAAGATTGGATAGGGAGCCCAGTTTGATAGAGATTATTTAGCTTCCACATGTGAAAGTTTTCTACTTTGCATTTTCATTTTAATTGCAAGGTGTTAATGTCGGTAACTTGTGTTTATGTTGCAGAGGCGAAGGAGATGGTTTTTTTTCTAAATCATTTCACTGGTTTTTGTGTCTGCTCATACAATGGCTATACTCATCCATTTTCTGTGTTATATACTTTTTATTTGGGCATTATTACATGCATTATTGCATGAAAATGGCCTTACAGGAGCATTATTTATCGGTGTAAGTTATTGAAGCATAAAGTGGTACTGTGGTTGTCAATAATACTTTTCGTTAATCAAGCATTTGTGTGGTTGGTTTGCTTCGAGTGCGAATCACTTTCTAAAGTTTGATGAGCCTCTCCTTGATTCACTTGATGCGAGAGGATCGTGTTGGATCTGCTAAGCCAATGGCTCCTGCTTGTTAGCAGGTTTTCTCACCGCCTACGTACCGGGAAGGAAACATTGGAAAGTTTCCTTCCAAAAATCAGTCTTATTCTACACGGAAAATAATGAAAATGACATGGACATGTGGATCTTATGATGATTGACGATTGTTCCAAAGCTTTACTATCAAGTGTTGGAAAGTTCAAACATTCTCACTAGTCTTAGTTAAATTTTGTTTACTGAAACTAAAAGTTCAACATTTTATAAATAAATCATACGGTTATTTAGAACAATGCTGTAAATATGAAGACAGAAGATAGTATTGAGTAAAAGAAAGGTCTTAATCACTAAGCTAAACTTGTTCAATGGGGTCAATGGAGGTGTATATAGGTCAAGTCTTTCCTTAGTTATTGAGTCTGGACTCAGCTTCGAGAAACACCAATTCTTGAGTCAGATTTGAGTAATTCATGGGGCAGTTGGGCAGACTTGATCTTGGAGATGCAAGAACATCTTTGTGTTGAAGATGATAGGCAATGAAGTGGGGTCAGAAATTTGAACTGATCAAATTGGATGGAACTTCCATGAAATAACATCTAGTCTAAGAAAACGGCAAAAACTTGGACTTGTCCAAATGTTTCGCCCATCTCTTGTAAGAAGTGATTTTCTAAAAATTTAATGTTTATAAGAGGAGATTTTTGTCGTATTTCTATCGTGTTCGAGGTGTCATTTTGAATTCAATATAAAGAAAATTATGTAAGTAAGAAATTTTCTTTTCTTTCATCAATTAGACTCTTTAAATGATTGTTGAATGTGTTTATTTGATTTTTTGATTAATTCGAATTGAATTATTTCAAATTAAATTAATTATATTATATTTTTTATTTTTATTAATTAAATCAAATTTATTAATTTTCAAAGTAAACCGATTGAATTAATTTTTTTAGTTAATTAAATGATAAATATATTTAAATTAAATTATATTTTAAATTTTTAATATTTTAAACAAATTAAATAAAATTATCTAATTTAAATATCAAAGTATTATATTAAAATTATTAATAATTTATGAAATAAAATAATTATTTTATATTTTATATTATTTAAATTTATTATATTGCAATTAAAATTTTGATTAATTTGATTTTCGAATCAAATTAATCAAAAATTACGAATTTTTTAATTAATTTTTATTAATTAACTAAAGTTAATTTAATAATTAATTAATTAATCAAACTAATTCAGTCTATTATTCGATTAAAATCAAATTATAATTTAATTTGCCCTTTCTCTTTCCCCGTCCCTGTACCTTGGCACAAGTGTGGGCTTGGAGTCAAGCTCATTTAAGTCTTTCCCTAGACTTGTGCTCTGCTTCCCAGTAAATTTCCGACATCCATTAACTGAAAGGAAACTTTGGGTTCCATCCCTAAGAAAATCAAAGTCGTCGCAATCGTCAAAAACACTCCAACGTCAAATGCAACTGTTCACTTTGCCGACACAATTCGAACCCTACCAAACATCACATCACTTGTCCAATCACATTTTGATTGCAAACATACAATTAAAGTCACTTTTTTAGACATCATAATTTCTTCTTTCTTTGAATTCATTGGTTCCATATAAAAATAAATTTTAATTGGGTTCATTAAGTAAAATATTTACACATTTTTATTTTTATTTTTAAAATTGATATGATAAAGCATGCGTGTAGTCTTTATTTAGATTCAAATTTCGTATATAAAGAAAAAAAATATGAATCGTTAAAAATTCTATTTAAATTTTAATTGTTAAAAAAAAAATCCACTTGAGATGGTGAGGGGGATGATTTTTTTAATAATTGAAATCCCACCATTCATAAATTAAAAAAAAAAAATTGTGTCTGAATTCGTAATTATCAAAAGTCATTGTCATTTTCTTGTCGTGTAGGGTTTACGTAGAGAACTACATTATCCTGAACCCTTCATTCTATTAGTCGCCAAACACGTGGCATTTAATTAATTTTCTCCATATATTTTTTATTTTATGTAACAATTTTGCTTGCCCCTTTTTTTTTTGTTTGTTTGTTGAACATGGATTATTTTTTATGAAATAATTCTTGAGTTGCCATTTTCGATCAGCCACGTGGCAGAAAATCATACGATTTCCCATTTTGAACGTTAAATTAAAATAATGAAAATTAAGTTATTATTTTTTCCACACTTATTATTGGTTGTTACCAATTTTTTTTTTAGAATTAAGTGTACATATTAATTCATTCATGCAATCATATTAAAATATAATATTTAATTAATTTAAAATTCAAATTTAAATATTTATAATTAATTTTTTATCTTAAAATTGAAGTCTCCTTAATAAAAAATATATTTTTGCAATTAAGTGCTTAATTCAGTGATTAAGGCATGTATTTTATGTTAAAAAAATAAAATTCAAATTCTTGCCTCAAATAAAGAAAATAAAAATAGTTTAGCAAATTTACAACGTTTGTGGTTTCTAACCCAAAGAGTTGGAAAGATACACATATTTCACTTCTTGAAACATTCCACACACAAAATCTCTAGTCAGTCAATGTTGGAAATTTGGAAAGTGTTACAAAGGCAAATAACCACCAATTTATTGACCCCCAACAAATTATTCTTCTATTAACACAAATTGAATAATTTGGTTTATTTTATTTGATGGCTTTCATTAAAAAAAACTTGAAAAAGAAAAAAAAATTTATTGTTAAAAAGTTTAAAATTTTATTTGAAAACTTATAATAATTCCAACATTGAAATGACTCGAACTAAAATTATAAAATGAAAATAAGTTATTTTTTATTATGTAATTCTTATATAATCTAATGTCATATGAATAAAAAAATTTTGATTCATAGAATGAGATGGTTTTTTTTTTTTTTTATTGATTGATCTGAGCTGGTAATTACAAAAAAAATAAATGTGAAATTGATAACCAAATAAACGAAAATAGGGTCATAAGAGATTTGTAATTATGTCAACCAATTTAACGGCATTATTGAAATTAAAATAGAAATGATCTTTCATTAACATTGAATCTCTTTAATGCATGAAATCATGGTAGATGAGACAACCAATTGTTGTCGGGCTTTAATATATATAGATAAGAGGGATCAATTTACACGGTGTAATTTTTTTTAAGTTTACATATTTTTTAATTATTAATTTTAATAAATTAAGACCAATTTGTCCTAGTCAAATTTGGCTGATTAAATGTCAAATTTTATAATATATATATAAAGTACATCACGAATTTTTTTTAACTAATGAAAATAGATGTATATCTGTATATTATATTTTTAAATTTTCATTTTAAATTTTTACTACAAATAAGATTTATCCAATTTATAAATAAGAACTATATTTTTATTAAATAAATTTATTTAATAAATTAAAATAAGTTAAAATTAATATTTTTTCAGTATATTTAGATTAACATTAAAAGTAACAAATTTTATATTAATTAACATAGATATATATTAAAGTAAATGGAACAAACTTTAAATGTTAACATACACTTTATTCGTTTCAATTATTTGTACAAAATACAATTACATATATTCAATAAATAATGAGTTTTTTTTTTTTTTTTTATCTAGAACCATAAATGTCCGATAATCACTTTGAGTTTCTATTATTCTAAAATTGAATCGAGTTGAAATTCATAAGAAAAATAAGTTGAAACTTATTTTTTTTATTCATAAAACTCGAGTCTAAATCTTATTTAAAAAAAACAAAACTCATTGACATTCATATCAACAGTATAAACAATGAATATTTATATTTTATTTACAAAGTTTTAATTTTACATTAATGTTAAAAGTAATAATAAAATTTATGTAATCTCATATTTTTTATATATGAGACAAACTTTAGTGTTAATATGAATTTATTAATTTTAAATATTTTTACTATATAATTATATATTCAGAATATTATTATTGAAAAATAAATAAACAAACAAATATTCACATGAAAAACAAGTGACAACAAATACAAATACAAAAAAATCCAAATAACATGTAAATAATTTGTTTTTAACAAATAATGCAGATTTATAGTGGTTCATGTGATGAATATTTAAGTTGTTTAACAAACAAAGAATATACATAAATCCTTTTTCTTTTCAACAGAGAAATAAATGAGTATGAACTAATTAATTGCATTCCCATTTGACAATTCAAAATTCCTCATCACAATGCTTCTTTTTTTTTTTTTTAATTTGGGGAGAGAAGATTCAAATTCTGATCAGATCATCATAAAATTTTTAGAACAAATCAAAATTGTAAAAAACGAGAAGCAAGATTGGAATATATTATAAAGAAAATATAAAAAAGTTCAATCTCATATATGTTCGTTATACATCATAACATTAATTTGAAAAAAAAGTAACTCATCTGAAATATGGAATTATAATGACTAAAAAAATAAATATAAGAATTCCAATATCAAAATATTAATTTCCAAACCTCTCCACTAAATTATTCAATATTTCTAAAAAACACCCACAAAGCTGCCAAGTAGCATACTCAACAAGACGCTAGCTGCTAACACCGTCACACTTGAATAAGTTGCAGTGGCAGATGAATTGGAAGGCGCCGATGCCGGAGTGCCTGTTTGCCTTCCAGATGGGACAGGAGAACCTTTTGGTGATAGAGAAGGAGAAGCAGAAGGAGAAATAGCCTGTGGTGGAGGTGGTGGGCTTGAAACTGTAGTCGTTGGTGCCTCAACAGGGCTAGCTGAATAAGATGGAGTTGAAGCTTTGGGTGATGGTGAAATGTTGGGGGACGTAGATGATGTTGGGGATGTTGCTTTAGGAGGATATGCAATAGGGCCATAAGCCTGTGGAGACAGTGATGGTCCTGAATATGGAGAATGATGTGTAGATGGTGCCGGTGTTGGAGATGATACTTGAGGAGGATTTGCAACAGGGCCATGACGCGTGGGAGAGAGTGCTGGTCCTGGAGATGGTACTGGTGATAGATACGATTCTTTAGGAGATTCAGAAACAGGAGAAAGAGATATTGGAGCCAAAGCAGGTACTGGAGATGATTCTGTAGGAGATTCAGAAACAGGGGAAAAAGATGTAGGAGGCAAGGCAGGTACTGGAGATGATGTTGTGGGAGGTTTTGCAACAGGACCATGATGCTTGGGAGAGTATGCTGGTCCTGGAGTTGATGCTTTGGGAGGTTCTACAACAGGGCCACGATGCTTGGGAGAGTAAGCAGGCCCTGGAGAGAGAAAGGAGATTATTGCTGGGGCTTGGTCTACTTGGAACATGGACAAGTTGAGGAACTGCTTTAGGTGATTGAGTAGATGGGGTTTTCTACTCTCAGTCAAAAACCATGATCAGTTTTGACCTTTCTGGCATATGAATCCCTCTTCGCCAACTTATGAAAAAAAAGGATTTTAGTGTGAAACTGAAACTCAGAACTTCCGCTCGTCATTTTCTTTACAGGGTTCTTTCTATTGCACTTGTAATAATCATCTTTGTGAACCAACAAAACCGAGTCTGATCCTTTCTCATATTTGAAACCTGCCCAAGCCAGGATCATAACCCATGTACCAAAATCAAAATCAAGAAACAAATGACATAACAATGATCATGAAAAACTAAATGCCCAAAATGAATCAAAGCAATCAGAAAACTAAAAGACTTACTAAGAGTGTCATTGACTTGGAACCTTTGTCTACCAGCCCAGTCATTGTATTTCTCTTTAGGCTGCAAAACCCAACCATCTTTGCCACCAACGTAGAAGTTTTTGAGGGCATCAGAGAAGGAGAGAATACCAACAAAGAAAACTAAGAAAAAGAGAGATTTCATATTAAGAGATTATATGTTAAGAAACTCAAAAGAAAAGCAGAGACAAATATGATCTTGAGTAAGGAATATGTCTATGTATATAATAGGCCACGAAGCTTCAAAGAAAGCTCTCAAACCCAAAACTTCTTGATTTTGGAAGTTAAAGATTCTTGGGATTTCGATTAAGGAGAAAAATAGTGCAAAACTGAGGCTAAATTGCTAATTATCGGTTGAATAAAGCAAGTAATTTGGAAAGGAATTAATACATGGTACGTGTTTTATGTAGTCTAGTGTCGGTTCAAATCTCAACTTAAAAGTTTTATCCCAATACGTGGCAAAATGGGAAATCATCTGGCATTTTGGAATTTAATGCGCAAGGGCAAGGTAGGGTATGGATTTTCCTTTTTCACAAAGCTGGATTTTAATTTAATTACATTTTTTTAGTAATAAAATAATAAATAAATAAATAAATTATTTGAGTAAGTTTATGTGTGCTGCTCTGATTTCATAGTAATGGAGCCAAAATTCTCTCGTACATTTCCCATATGCTTACAAGCAATTAAAACATAATATTTTGCTCTTTTGTTTTTCCTTACTTTTGAAAGAAAAAAGAATAAAAAAAATCAAACATGAGGCTTGTTGAGATTGGCTCACTCAACGTGTTCGATTAAGAACAATATTCGTGAAAATAAACAAAGCTTGAGATGGTTTAGACAAAGTCACATGGTGATTAGCTCCTTTTACAGTCATAAAAGTCAACAAATTTTCGTACGAGTACTTCCAACCTCCATCCTGTTCAATTAATCAAAAGATTGATTAGAAAAAAAGAAATTTGATAAATAAAACAAATAAATAAAACACAAATGGATAAATAAATAACCTTGTTTTCATGATTCCAAGCTTCATCTTTCGTCAAATTCAAATTCATATCCTTGGCTAATTTCTTAACATGTTTTAGGGTGCCAATAGTTGGTACAACACCATCTTCTTCTCCACTGTAAAACATGATATTGGATGACAATAAATAAATAAATAATCAGCCATAGATTTTCTTCTGTAAGTTTCTTAGTAAAACCTTTTTTTTATTTTTTAATAAAAAAAGAGAACCTGAATATTGTAACAGGAATAGAATGTTGGAGAATCTGTTTCAATGCAGGAAGCATGTCAATAGCTCTATCAGCTGCGCTGTAATTGAGACCAGAATTCCTAGTAGATTGTCAAGAATGTAACAGATAGTCAACCATCTCCATATCTTTTTACTTCATGTGTACAAAAAACTGAAGATAAGTAAACTATAAGTGCAAGTTTTCAATATGTAACTTACTCAAAACATCCCCTCCATTGATACTCTAAGTTGGTTCGATTTCCATGGAAGGCTTTCTGAACTTCTGGAATGTTTAAATAGAATTCTGCCCTAAAAGGAAGGCACATATCTACTTCATAGGTAATCTTAATAACCTGTGACAGTAAAGGGATTAATAATTAGAATATAAATAAAAAAATAAATTAAACCCGAAATTTAATAATTCAATTGGCTCATGCAATCATGTTAACGATCCCTTCTGTTAAAAATAAAAAAATATATACCTCCTTTTCCAAGTTTAGGTCTTCCCATTTTCCATCACATGTGGAACGAAGAATATCAAAGTGCCTTGCCTTGGCTTCTGGAATGGAAGTTACATTAAAAGCAATCAATTCAGCTTTATCCATGGCTTGTTGGCATGATTCAGACCAATTGGTCGCATTGTTGGAATAGTTATCTTCATCAATTCCATCGCATTCTTTTAATATTTGTTGGTGCAAGTCTTTGTTAATCATCCCACGAGACCAAAACAATTCATATAGTGCAAGGATGTCTAGCTTACTCCGAAGAAGTGGATTTCCCAACTATATAAAGATAAAAAATTAACCTGAAATTGTTAGGAAAATTAAACTTGCATTGACACAACAAAACTAAGCAAAAGGATTAATTTAGAGTAGTTAGATGTATGGAGGTTTTGCTTACTGCTAATCCTTTGATGTTGAACTTCAAATCATTTGATTGTTTGTTGTAATCAAGTAAGGTGTTACCTAAATTGGGTATGAAATGTCCTGAGAAAAAATAAACAGACGAATAAAAATATTTCACATGGAATTCACAAAAAGTGTGATGTAAAATGAGAAATATGTTTTAGGCACCTTAATTGTTTCGATTTTTCATTAACGGTCATTTAAATCTTCACCAACTTTTAAAATCGATTAACTACGTTGAACTAATTATTCAATATGCATTTTTAAGATTAAAAAAAATTATTATTATTTTTCGAACCTGCATAGCTTGAACCAGCAAGATATAAATCTCTAGATTTGAAATTTGGATACTTGTCAAACCATTGTAGTATGAATGCAAGCAAATCCTCGTCTGTAAGAAAGAATGAAGGAAAGTTTTACCAAACGTTAGTTTTTTTTTTTTTTAAATGATATAAAAATAAGAAAACAAAAGGTTTTGGCCGTGATCTTACTAGTACTATCATCTCCAACTTGATAATCACTGCTTGTTTTTGAATATGACCACCCAACTCCAATAGGAGAATCAATAAACAGGATATTTGACACTAAAATTTATATAACAAAATTTTGAAGTCAGTAAATATCAATAAAAAAATTTATATGTCAATTGATTCATATAATTATTATTTCTAAAAAATGAAATCTTTGACATTCAAATCATAATATACATGACCCTTTTTTTATTCTCAGGATTGTAAAAAAAAAATCAATGGATACAAGCAAATTTTTTTTAAAAAAAATTCAACCTTTGATCCAAGAATGTGGGTTTCTCTGGAGACAATGAGCATTGTTTGAAGTAGTGAAAGGACCAACACTTATAAAACTATCTCCAACTGAACTGCACCCTGGTCCTGAATATATAATCAATTTTGGTCAATAGATACAGAATGTTGATGAATATTTTTGCTACTTGAAACGGAAAAAAATAAAACCAAAAGCATAGAAAATTTTTTCATAGAGGAAAAATTCAAAAGCTAGATAACCTCCAGTTAGCCAAACAGTGAGGGGAAGATTCATGGGATCATTTTCAGCTTCGACCAAATAATAGAAAAGACTTCTGCCAGCCTTTCCATCAACATCAATGTAGCCAGAAAATTGCCTGAAGTTAACATGTGGTTGTCCAGGCAATTTTCCTATTTGCTCATCCATAGGGTATCCAAAAATACCACCAAATATGAAAAAGAAAAGGCGAAGGAAGAATCCCCCAATATCCATTAACAATCTTGGATAGAAATCTTAATGAGAATAACAGGAGAGAAGAAGAGAATATTGCATATAGTTTGCCTGTTTTGATGGACATATACAATTATGCAGTGAACTTATATATTGGTTTTGATTTCTTTCTTTGTTCTAATTTTACAAAATCTTGTTATAACAATACCTTGAGACAAGTAAATTTGAAGTTACTATAGCTTATTTAAGTGTTCATTAGTTTGTTTGTTTGAAAATAAAATAATCTTCTGTTATCACTGTTTCAATCTCTATCCATTTTGTTGGAACAAATCAATGTCAATGGATATCCAATTTTCGAGTAAAATAACCCTTTTTTTTAAATTCGAACTTGCTCAAGATACATGTGTCAATGTTACTTGATTAAAATGTTCAGATGCTATCAAGTAATATAAGTTAATTTTTATCAAAATTTTGGAAGATCCAACATATTAAGACTATATTAAAATTTTGGGGGGCACCAGTTTGGCAGGAGAGACCCCATATTAAGCCTATCCACAAAACCTGAAGAAAAATAAAGCATAAAAAGTGAATAAATAGGGAAGATTAAGAACAGAATTGTTGAATAAAACTACTTGGAAAAGATTGTATGTTTCCTCACGTTAGCAAATGGGATTCCAATGAAATAGAAAGTCCCCAAGTTAGCCCACACAGCCAAGAGCCAAGGAGTGTGGGTTGTTGGTGGCCTTAGAGCCTTGGACCCAACAAGTTTGGTTCAAGCGCCCTTTTATTGACCAATTTGGCTTGCTTCCAAACCAAGACCAAGATCCAAAATGCATCTTCAATTTGTGAATAAAATTTTTTTTAAAAATGATTGTTTAAAAATTCCCTAATAATAAAAATTTCACAAAAAAATGTAGTGATATTTATATAAAAAAATCTTTAATGTGAGGAATAACTTAAAGGGTTCCAAAAAATTCTTTCAATATTATAAACATTAATTTTCTAACAATCATAATAAATAGTGATGAAATTATAGAAAAGACATTAATAATAATAAATTTAAAATTTAGAAAAATAAACATAAATTTTTTTATGTGCAATTAAATAATAAATTGAAGAAGTAATTAAATTTTTATTAATTTTAAAAAAAGGTTTTTTAATTTTTTTTTTGCATGTGATATTAGAATCTATATACCTATATATATATATACTTGACATGTGTTTATTATTATACAACTATGATGAATAACTAATCTAAAAGATCTTAGCACAAAAGAAAAAAGAAAGAAGTAACCAAAATAATACACAACCCAACATAAAATAATTTGTACATTTAATCCATTTATATATAATATCATGACAATGGAAAAGAATATTATTATAAGGTTGTAACTTATTTTTTAAGTATCTCAAAATACCTTTATTTATAAAATGAGTCTTGAAAATAATTATGCAATGATTTATTCTTTTTGAACAAGATAGTAACGGGTCGGGTTGGGACGAATTTTTGCTCGTTATGAATCCAACCCGATTTCATAATCAAAAAATTCAAATCTGAATTTGATCATAATTTTTTTTATTTTTTTATATCCGAACTTGACCCGATTTGATATTGTATAAACTGTACCCGATTCGATATGACTTGAAATTAATAAAATATTATTTTTTAAAATATAAAATATTATTTTTTAAATATAAATATATAATTATATATAAATTAAAAATTAAAAATAATTTTAAAAAATGTTAATATAATATCGAGTCGGATTGGATTTATTTAAAACTCAAATCTGATTTTTCTTTAATAATATTTGATTTGACTCGAAACCTGAATTAAAAAAAAAATCCGACACTATGTGATTGGATTGAGTCGAAATCCGTCAGACTTAGGTTAGACTATCAACCCTACTTTTAAATGTTTAAATAATTAAAATAAATTTAAAAATTAAATCAAATTAATAATAATATTTTAAATTAAAAATAATTTATATTTGATACCGTACTATTACTACCCACCATCACATTCTGTCTTCACTGAAAAAACAAACAAAAATCCCACGATTAACACACACACAAAAACCTTTCAGTATCACATCAATCCAAAAAAGACAAAAAATTCCTACAATTCAGTCTCATCCCCAACAAGTGAAATCATGCAAAAAATAAATAAATAAATAAAAAACAAATCTCCTACAGTTTTGGTTTAGGGTGTTTTGGACTTTGAATTTTGGAGGAGGAGAAGATTTTGGAAAGGAGAAAGACATAGTGGAAGATGGAAGCATTTTTAGCGACGGAAGAAGAGTTTTCTTGAGGTGATAACTGCGAGTTCGAATTTAGTTTTAAACCACTTTTTGAACTTTATAAAAAAAAAAATTTTGATTTAAGAAAAAAATTAAAGGAAGTCAAGAGGATTTTTTTAATGATTTTTTAAGAATTTTTTATGTCCATGAATGACAGTATGTGACCGTGATTGTTATAAGAAAAGAGTGAATTTATAAAAGAAAAGAAGAATATTATTATAGATTTTTTATCTAACCAAAAGAAACAATTAATATGATAAGAGAGTCATATTATTTTATTTATTTTTTAATTGATTTTATTTTGATAAGAGAGTCACCCAGCGAAGCGTGTGAAACCTACTAGTATATTCTAAAAGGCAGTCTTCTCTCATCTTAGAATTTTTATACCAGAGTTGGAGCTTGAAACCTTTCAAAATTGAAAGATTGAGGTGTCTCCCTTAGGAGGACACGTCGTTTTTTTTTTTTTTGTCATTTACAGGATGAATCTCATTTAAGTGCATGCATTGCCACATAGTAATTTATCCAGATGAAATCATGGTTACAAATCGAGAAAGCAATAATGTTTGGCCGTGTGGGTCAGAGTCTTCTTAAATTATTCTTTGTCCCCTTTCTTCACATGCTTGTGTTATTTAGTTTGTTGCAATTCTTGTCATGAGTAATTTTTAAGCCTGGAATACAAAATTCTGAGTTTTTTTGCAAAGACAGTTTAGAAATCTAAAAAGGCTTCCAGGTTTTAAGGGTTTGAAACCTAAATTTATTTGATATCATCTTTTAAATATGATTATATAAATTAATTTGAAATTCGAGACTTTTAATTTAGAGAAAAGATAAGAATACTGAGTTATTATTTTTGTTTTTTTTTTTAATTAATTTATAAGCTATTGTTCTTGATTACAATATGTATGATGTTTTTTCTTTAATTTCTTTTTTTCTTGTAGGTTTTTTATGATCCTCCCACAATTTCAATTGCCAACACAGATAGCTCAACTTTCTGGGATTATTGATATTTATTTACTGACTATGAAATGTACACTAAAGAGTACAAACATCACTCAAGACTGTCAAAACTTTGACAGGCTAGCTGTTTCTTTTTAACTGACTTTCAAAGATAAACCACAATGTCATAACATTGAAATCAAAGCTGATGAATGTTTCAATTCTCAGGCGCAGACCAGAGATTCTCAAGCAAATGGAATCCCAGATTATGATGTTAAAGTTGAAAAGGTTAGGACATGTAAACAGCAACTTGGAGAATGATGTAACCCCCCCCCCCCCGGCCATGAATTTTATCATTAATTTCTCAGGAAATGTAGCTATACAAACAGATCTGCTGTTCGTTTAAGGACATCACATGATATTGATCAAATCAAGCAACATTTGCAGGACATACATCGTATCGAATTCCAAAGGAAAACATGATGAAAATGTCTTTTTATTTTCAGTACAAGGCAATACTATAAGGATGAGAAGGCAGTATTTTCATGGAAACTTACATATAAATTAAGAAAAATTACATACAAATACAATTATTTGTGCAGCAGGGAAGAATATAGAAGAAAGAAAATGGACTTATCATTTCAGCCAAATGAGAGACTGCAACTTGCATTTTTCACTCTGCCTTATCCCCCTTGACTTCCTTCTTCTCTTCCTTCTTCTCTTCCTTACCATCCTTCACCTTTGGTTTCCCTTGCTTAGGCTTCAGGAAGCAGAAACAAGAACAGCAAGGACACTGGAACAAGAACTTCATGGCCTTTTTTTTTTTTTGCTTTACTTGGTTTCCAAATGGTAAAGCTTTTCTGTCTGGTTTCCTGTCTAATAATGTTGTTTATATTTTCCTTGATTCTACAATTACCGCCCATTGGATTCCACTTCAATCACTTTCAATAAAGAAGGCGATGCCTAATAATGCCAACTTTAGGGCTAGGGATAAATGGTGAATGTTTGTGGGGCTACGGAGGGATAAGTGGTGACCCCATCCATGATCGAAAATAATGTTCATACTCTCAATAGGGCTCGTCTTGTTGGTCACCTTGGGCATGATCTGTTAGAAAAAAGGAGGGTCTCCTTAAATTTCCTCGCCTGACACTAAAGATTCCTAAGCTGGCAAGCAATATGGGACACGCATTTTTGTATTACTACCATGAGGTTAAAGTTAAGAAGAATTGTCCATTACAATATTACCCAGTATTTCCCTTTTTTTTTTTTTTTTTTAAATTTAAGATCTCAAGCTCAAATCTTGACATGCTAGCAAAATGATTGCCTAATTTTATGTACCATGCCATAAAATATGGTAATGAATGTAGATATCCAATTTGATTTAGATCCGGATCAATTGAACCTGGTTCAAATAGGTAAGTTCAATTTGACTTTTATTTTGTATTTTATATTATTTTTATTTTTATTTTTATTTTATTTTTTTTCTTTCCTTTGTATCTTATGTATCTATTATTTATTTATTTATTATTACTATGTATTAATATATGTATATCTTTATTTATTTATTTATTTATTTTCTATGTTAATATTTATATATGTTTTTTATTTATCTAGTTATATATTTATTATTATATTATTATTTATTATTATTATTTTTTTATTTATCTTGTAATATTTTTTATTTATCTTATTATTTTTTTAATTATCTGTTAATTTTTTTATTATTTTTTATTCGTTTATCTGATTTTTTTTTGTTTATCTGATTTTTTTTTCTTTTTTTTTTTGGGTTGAGATTGAAGACTTTGAAGAATCCTACCGTGAATGAGGATTCAATTAGAATCCAGATTAGATTCAAAGATTGAATCTCCATCCAAAAAAGAATAGGGATTGATCAGAAACTCTTCTGATCAATCCCTATAAATAGGTACTAAAACAGAAGGAAGAGGACATAGAGAAAAACAGTGAGAAAAAAGCTACTGATTGAGAGAAAATGGCATATAGAAGATTTTTGAAGGCTAAGAAAAGGTTTAGAAGTGTTAGAACAGTTGTAGGAATCGAAAAAAAATTTTGGAGATTTTTGGCGAAATTGTTTTCTAGAAATTTATGGAAAATTTTTAGATTTCGGTGAACTTTTCGACTAAAGTTAAATTTTTCGACGACAATTCTGGTCAAGTTTGAAGTTTTCGGTGAAGATTCCCAGAAATCGACCAACTTTTCGATATATTTTCGACGAAAAACTCAAATTCCAGTGAAAAATTTTAGAATCCGGTGAATATTCAGCCGGAGTTCTTCGGCCGTTTTAGAGAGAAAAAAAAGAAAAAGAAGGAAGAGAGAGAGATGGAAGAAGATTTCTGTCGAAAAAACAAAAGAAACAGCTTTATATACCCTCCTAAAACGATATCATTTTTGCATTAAATAACCCAGAGGATCCACATGTTTTGTTAAGATCCGACCCGACTCGAGCGTCGATCCGCTTTTCAACCCGCGCTTGTTCTGCTTCCCCAAGCCGTTAGTCGAACCGAGCCACTTCTCCGAGTCGTTTCTCTTCCTTGAGCCGAGCCGAGCCGTACTCCGAGCCGCTCTAGGTTTTTTTTTATTTTTTTATATATATATTTATTTTTATTTATTAAATTAGGATTATTTAATGTTCTTTTATCTTTATTTTATTTTTATTTTTGTTTTACTTTTTTTTATTTTCACTTTTATTTTGTTTTTTTATTTTATTTTCTTTAAATAAAACCTAAAAAAAAATATTTTTGGAGAAAAGTTAAAAGTATCAATTTTCTTTAAAAATAAATTTTCAAAAAAAAGTTTTTGAGGAAAAGTTGAAAGTATCAATTTTCCTTGAAAATCAAGGAATCCAAAAAAAAATATTTTTGGGAAAAAGTTGAAAGTATCAATTTTTCTTAAAAATAAATTTTTTAAAAAATATTTTGGGAAAAAGTTGAAAGTATCAATTTTTCTTAAAAATAAATTTTTAAAAAAATAAATTTTTGAGGAAAAGTTGAAAATATCAATTTTCCTCAAAATTAAAGTTTCAAAAGAATATTTTCGGAAAAAAGTTAAAAGTATTAATTTTTCTTAAAAATAAATTTTTCCAAAACAATATTTTTGGAGAAAAGTTGAAAGTATCACTTTTCTTTAAAAATAAATTTTCAAAAAAGTTTTTTTAAGAAAAAGTTGAAAGTATCAATTTTTCTCGAAAATCAAAGTTTTCAAAAAATATTTTTGGGGAAAAGTTGAAAGTATTAATTTTCCTTAAAAATAAATTTTCAAAAAAAGTTTTTTTTGAGGAAAAATTGAAAGTATCAATTTTCCTTAAAAATAAATTTTCAAAAAAATAAATTTTTGAGGAAAAGTTGAAAGTATCAATTTTCCTCGAAATTAAAAGTTTCAAAAGAATATTTTTGAGGAAAAGTTGAAAATATCAATTTTTCCTGCACAAAAACAATCATTCTTTTCTTTCTTTTTATTTTTTAATGTTAAAGAATCCAACGATAGAGCCTCTGCAAGTGAAACAGTAGTTTTTCTTGCATACTCTTGAGGTGAGAAAATTTTTTCAATTTTTTGCTAAAAGTATTAGAGTCAATTGAGAATAATTTTCAATAATTAATTACTTGGTAAAATTTTAAGACTCATTGGATAACACAAATTTAAGCTGGTACCATCTTTTGATGGGCGTTTTGAGGGTGTTATAACCTTCCTCACACGTAACCGAACTCTCGAACTCTGTTCTGGTTAGTAGACTTGAACCTATTCTTTTAAGGACCCTTAAACTTAGGTGTTCCCTAAAAGGACAGATTCTTTAGGTGACCAATCGCATCTAGATAAAAAAGATTAATGATGACTCCATTAAGTCAATGTCTAGGATAGATCTCCGGATCTAGACGTTATGACAGCTTGATGACTCCGTTGGGGACACTGAAAGTTAGGCCAGCAAATAATTTGTATTATCCAAAAGCCTAATAAAATTGAACCTTGTTGTATATATGTGTTATTATTCATTCATTTTTTTACCTTGTTAATTGTGTCATTAATATGCATGTGCATAACATGAGCTCTACACCCGAGCTCCGTCCCTCTAGGAGGAGTAAAGTATCTATTGCTTTCATGAGGTCTAATGCCTCCGCAGTGGCTAACGAAATACTCCCACTCAAATTGAACATTTTTCTGCTTGTAGCCTGTAATGGGTGAGGATTAGGGTGTCTTACTAGTCTGTGATGGACAAAGATGTAAGGAACAATTTGAGGACCTTTAGACTTTGACCTTAAAACCCCATATAGTGAACCTTAAGAGCGCCTAACCTATAGATAGAGCCATCACTCTTCCCTTTTAGAATTGACCAAAAGCATAGGATTCATCCCTTTTACTTTGTGTAATGTTTAAATTTACTTAGTTATTTATTCTTTTTCTGGGTATACTAACCTTTTTCTTATTCTTTTGTATTGGTTCATACGCATATCATAAAGTTGCATAAAGAACATTTGCTTGAAAAATGGTCTTCAACAAATTTTTTTCATGGATTCCACTGAACGACTAGTTTGTTCTTCATCGGTATTAGCACCTTGTGGGACACCCAATGAAGTAAAGGCCCAGTCAGAAAAAATTCAACTGAAGATGGGAGATTGTTTACCAATCGGGTATGATTCTACTCTGTCTCAAGAAACATCTATCCTCATCAAACAGAATAATTTAGAGGATTTGGTTAATATCTGGAAGAAGATGAGTCCGTCAAGACAAGAGCAGTTTTATCAGAAACATGGGCATATAGCATACCTTCTAGCAGTAGTTGTTGATGATCAACTAATCAGAGCTGTAACATAATTCTGGGATCCTGCATACAAGTGTTTCATCTTTAATAAAGCTGATATGACTCTTACCATCTAAGAATATTTGATCTTGTTGGGTTTGCATCTCAAGAATCCTGACAAGATATATGTAAAAGTTTGACTCAACTTATGGGGATAGACAAGGAAATTATGGATTCTCATACAAAGAAGAAATAAGAACAGGTTTGCCTACCTTGAAAGTTTTTTCATGAGTTTCTGATGCAACATGCCAATGAAGAACGGGGGTTAGATATATTTACCTTGGCCATATACGGATTGGTGATCTTTCTAAAGGTTTTAGGATATATTAAGATAGCGGTTGTTGACTTCTTCGAGAGTGCGATCAATGGCTGTAATCTTTCAACGATAATATTAGCAGAGACTATTAGATCTTTGAGTTATTATGTCGAAATGGAAGACGCTTCATAGGTTACATACAGTTATTATACTTATGGATAAAAAGCCATTTTGAACAGAGAAATGGTGCTTTCTCGAAGCTTTATATCCGTAATCGTGTTTCAATTAAGAAATTCTACGAAAGTAGGTAGTCAAAGCAAAAGTCTAAATAAGAATGGATAACTTTCTTACAAAAGTTGAAAAGCACCAGGGTGAGATGGTTGGCCCAATGGATGAATCGTGAGCCTATGTTGTATCAATGTGGGGATAGTACAGTGGTTCCACTTTTGGGTTTATGAGGAGTGACGAATTATGCACCACTCCTAGTGAGAAGGCAATTTGGGAGAGAACAGTTTATTTCTATGGCTTATGGGCTTCATCAGTTAGATTTCTCTTACAGTGAGCCTAAAGCATTTCAAAGGATGAATGAAATGATTAAAGCATGGAAAAATCCCTGAAGGGTAAGTCCTGAATCATTTACTAATAAAGTCACCCTAGGGTACTTGGTTTGGAGAACAAAAAGAAGACAAGAAATGGTATTCACTTATAAAATCTCGTAACCACCAATAGAAGAAAAACTTGAAGAGACACCATCAGAATTAGAGCTAGCAACAAAAAAATTTGAGTCTGAAAAGGGCAAGTTAAAGCAAGAAATCCAGAAGCTTCAAGAAGAAAAAACCTAGTGAAAAGATAGAGCTGAAAGTTATGAAATTAAAGTTCACAAGATTGCTAGAGAACATGATACAGCTATTGAAGATCTAACAAAGCTACACTAAGAGCATAAAAGGTTATGTGTGAGAGAAAGAGCCAAAAAGATAACCATTGTCGAGCTGACTGAGGAAAATACAAGATTGAAGCAAGAGTATGCTGAATTAAAAGAAGA